TGCCCCTCTGCAGGCCCCTGTGCCCACACCCCCGCCGCGCCCAGACTAGCCCTTTAGAGGCGGCGTTCAGGAGGTTAAGTGACCTACACGAAATGACGGCAGAGCAGGATTCGCGCCCAGGACGCTCTGCCTTCGAGGCCCACGTCGTTCCTTCTCCCCGTGCTGTGCCCCAGTGCCAAGCCCAAATCTCTATGTCCTGCTGCTTGCGTGTGGCTGAAAGGAAACCGCTAGGAGACGTGTTTGGGGGTCATCCGGGAAGGCAGAGAGGAAACCCTGACGTGGCTGGTTGTGCGCCATCAGTGCTGAGAGAAGAGTGAACCCGGGAGATCCCCTCCACCAGGAGAGAAAGCCTCCCTGATAATGTTCGTTGTGCTCTTGTGATTTGAAATGTGATGCAGTTGTTGCTAAATTGAAGGGATATGAGGTGTCATTTGGAGAAGAGAGGTTATTCTATGGAGATCTGTGGGAAGATGCAAGGATTACCCAGCACCACGAACAAAACTTTCCTGGGTGAGAAAGCGGCTGCAGGCCTGTGCAGTGGGCGGGTCACCAGCTGTCCTGGTTTGCACGGGGCTGAGACATTTCCCATGACACAGGACTTTCAGCTTTAAACCTGGGGCATGCCTGGGCAAATCATGATGGCTGGATACCCTAGAAATGGTCAGACTGGGAAGCTTGATATACTCATGGAAGTTAAACTGTGGCAGTTTTTGAAACCCGGGGTCCAGTTGGGGATTTGGTCATAGACCAAGACAGAAAAGGTGGGACAATGTAAGCTACCTTCCTGCAGAGACCCTGGATTACTGTCCCAGAGCTCCTTTCCAGGACCTGAGGGCAGGCTTGGGTAGAGGGCAGGTAGGACAGCAGAGCCAGGCTGGCCTGTGCCTTAGTTTCCTCATCTGTAAGATGGGATAAGAGTACCTACCTCCTAAGACTCCATGTGAACTATATGAGTTAATACATGTAAAGTGCTCAGAGCAGTGCCTGGCCAGGACAATGCATCAAGTGTCACCTTGTAATTCTCAGGAAGAGAAACTTGTGTGTCGTCCTGGACCGATCACCGTCTACAGCTGTTCCCCTCTCCTTTTAAAGCGGAAATCGAAAGCTCTGCCAAAGCTTTCAGAAGACACAGCACAGGACACAATCAAGAAGGAAATGGAGAGCGGTTAAGAATGGGTGCTCTGAAATCAAACCACTTGGGTCGCATCCAGCTCTGCCATTTAGATGCTCATTCATTATTTAGCAAGCACGTACAGGCCAGGCACTGTTCTGAGCTCTGGACACATACCAGCTCATTCGACTCTCACAGCCACCTTACCAGGTGGGTATTTTTATTATTCATCCCATTTACAGATGAGGAGACTGAGGCACAGAGAGGTTATAACTTGCTGAACTCACACAAGGAGCCAGAACCTTGAGCAAGTTTGTTGACATCTCTGTTCCCCAGCTGCCCTAGAAAACCAGCGATATAAATTACGATGCCTACCTCCTAGGGCTGTGACGAGGATTAGATGAGATAGTCTATATAAAGCCCTTCGCAAAAGGTAGAACATAGTAAGTGCTGGATACTTAAATATAAAGTACCTTACCTAACTGCAATGACAGTGCATATATTATTTGCTATAATTATCAAAAATATAACTGGCAGTTTAAGGAGGTGGCAAAATGAGTAAAGCAGCGAAAGTCCAGGGTGGAGCGGGTACATAGGATGCCCTGAACTCAGGAACAGGACGGCAGGCCTGCAGATCCTATTTGCATGAGACCTTGTAGGCCTTTGGGGGGAATGGTGAAGGGACTTTAAGGATTGACCGTTGCCCAAAACTCCAGGCTTTTCTTGTCTGAACTAAGAGAGACAACAAACCAGCCCCCGCCTCCAGGAGGTCCGCAGGTAGGACAGGTAAGGAGCCTGGGCCTGGGGCTCCGGCAGCTGCGTGGCCTATGGGCGGTCCATCCTCGCCCCCCGCTGTCGGGAGCCTGGGCAGGGGCAGGCTCTCGCGCATGCTCCAGATTCCTACCGGGACTGCCCTCCAGTTGCCACCTCGAAACCACTGCTGTGCTGGCTTAGCTCTCTGGCTTCATGCATTTAGATTCATCTTCGACTCACTAAAATCAGCCCTCTTCCTCCTCCAGCTCTATTTTTGACTGTGCCCTTTGATTCCAGACAAGGCACGTTACTCTGTGTGCCCTAAGCAGAGGGACCTTTAGGGCAGAGGATTGGCCAGGGATGGGTGAGGCGAGAGGAGTCTCTCCAACAAGAGATGTGGTGGTGACACAAACAGCTCGCGACTCCTGGCCCAGTCCCGGAGCTCACCCCAACTTCTTGACCAGAGGGGGCATTAGCTACATTTTGGAAACCTAGTAAGGGTTGTAAGTAGCAGAAAGAGAGCGAGAGCCCTTCTCCAGGGCGAGGTCCAAGGGCAGTAAACACTGAGTGGACACTGGCTGTCCAGCCAAGCCTCAAGTCCTTCCTTCCTCTCTCATCTCCTGAAAAGTGGCTGGGCTGTGCTCTTGGGCTCAGGCAGTTACTCCAGGCTGCACTGCTTGGCCTCCAAACGGATTCTTCACCTCTTCTGAGCCCTTTTGGGTAGATGGCTGGATAAGGTACTTACTTTTCACTTTTATTTCTCCCCTGGATGCTGCCCTCCTCAAATCACTGGCATCTAGTACTGGCAAAGCCCACACTACCCCCTGCTGAGGCCAGTGCCTCGGAGCCCCTCGCCGGTGTGGAGGATTTGGATGGAGGCTGTGGCAGCCTTGGTGCCGGGCATCTCAACCCGATTTCTTGGGTCGTGGGTTGTGGGCGGGATGCTGCCGAGTGGAGCCCCCAGTGGCGGAGTGGAACACAA